TTTTATGGGGGCCGCGGTGAATTAACATTCGGTACAGGGGGTCCGCGGCATCAAAAAGGTTGGGAAACACCGGTCTAGATAATGTGGGACCCTCAAAGTCTCACACCCCTATGGGCCTTCACAGCCTGTTACAGGGATAGCTTTACTTTTTTTTTTTTAAGGGTAGGGTCTGGCGGCAAGCTTTTCTGAGAAAATCAATGAACTTTTCGGGTCACACAGAAGACGTGGAATTTCTCAACCAGCGGAGCAACTGTCAGTTTCTTAAAAAATAATGTTCCTTGTGTTATCTTAAAAATAGACTGATTATTCTAAATTTATAACACTGAAAGGTTATTTTGAAGTGAAGCTTGCATCGTAATCGACTTTAAATTTACCAAAACAAATTCTTCGTTGGATCTTCCGTTGAATGGAAATTCAAGTAACATCGAAATCTCGTTAGTAACGCATGGCACGTTTCCAATAAAGTCGTTAAAATTTGTCAAGCGTATGAAGAGGCCGTGGTGGAGACAATTTGAAACGCCCGTAAAATTTTGCAGCGGTTTAAGTGCAGACGTGTTTGTTTAAACCTCAGCACAGTGGTTAATGTGAAACAGCAGGTAAAAGTAAGCAAAGGTATCCCTGTAACAGGCGGTGGAGGCCCACAGATTTGTGAGATGTTGAGGTTCCCACATTTTCTAGACAATTGGCTCATAGATAGCGGTAAGGTTGTCAGCCTTACGCGCCGGCCACCCTTTACCCCCAAGAATATTGCTGGTACTCATTTCTGTTAGAGGCTGAGTCAACCCCAGGGCCATAGTGCGGCTGGATTACGTAAATTGAAAATATCCACCTCATCGGGGCTCGACCCCGCGACCTTCTTATATGTCGGAAAAGAAAAAAGGCACTCTACCTACTTCTTTGTATTCCTGCGTGTTGTGCCCTGAAGGCCGACTCCCGGTAACATGTTAAAAGTGTATTTATTTTTTTTTATTTTAGGGGAAAATGTTGGCTAGAATAGAATAAGTATTTTGGGAAATACTGTAAGACGTATGCAAGAGAATGTAGAGAAGGGTTAACCTCAAGGAATTTCTACGTATGGAATTAGACGGACGTTAGCCTTTTTTGACGCGTCGATGTCCTGTCAGCAGAATGACGTTGAATGTACATCGAAATGCTAACTCTGCAAAATCTACACTTGAGTGAGGGAGGATCGTTTGCAGGTAAAAGCGCTTAGCCAAACGGACTAGCCGTAAGAGAGCGTGTCCATCCCTAAGGATCCCAGCCAACGAGAGCTAGCCACTTGGGACATAACGTCATTGTAGGCGGACACGCATCCTCCGGGAAAGTAACGAGTTATCAAGAATAAAGGTATATATAACCCGGGTAGTGAATTATTATGGGGATTATTCAAACAGTAATTTTGGGCAGTTTTAGCCGGAGGCTATGCTGGAAGAGGCGTCGACTGGATGCCGGAAAACTCCATCCGTCTGCAGTCTCAACGCAAAGTAAGTGGAACTAATCTTATCGCCATGCTATTTAATTGTGATTTTATTAAAGTGTAACTTCCCCAATGGGACATGAGTTAGGAACGTTACAACAAGTGTACAGGGCGTAAGAGTGACTCATCGGGGTGATGCAGACGTAGACATGTGTAACACAGAGACTGCAGAGGGCGTGTATATATGTATGCAGGGGATGAGAGAGGTGTAGTGGAGATACAAGGATGAGTGGAATAGGGAAAAGAAGAGACGAGCGACCTGCAACCGGGTGAAAGAAAGCAAAGATGAGGGCTAGAGAATCGCCTAGAAAAGTGTAATATGTAACCCGACACCAGTCGGCTCTTTGTAATGTATATAACTGTATATTGATTGTTTATAACCAATATAGGGTAGCATAGGGTGAAAATGTGGAGTTTTGTAAATGTGATTTTTTCTCTTACCGCATTTCGCACCTGCGCCCTCCTGACCGGCCCTGTGAACTGTGTGCCCCTAGCCAATGTAGCAACGATCGAGGAAGTAATTTAGCGGTTTCCTTAGCCCCCCCCCCTTTAAGGCAGTACATTGCACTTTATAGGTTAAAATTGTAACTGAAATATTCAGCGAAATATTCCTTGTTGTTGTTATGTAAGGAACGTCCTATGACAGCAAACAATAGCACTGATTCAGCGTGGACAGAAATGCATGTTTTCTTTATTGCTAGTGGGGTGGGACTAAGTCCATTGTACTGCGGCCATTTCTGGCCTGTTGTACCAGCCCCAGATGATAGGTGAGGGTGATTGTGGAGGAACTGGTGGAATGAAGGTTGGCAGGGGAAACCGAAGTACTCGGAGAAAACATGCCCCAGCGTCACTTTGTCCACCAAAAATCCCACTTCACCAAACCCGGGATAGAACGCAAGCCGCCGCCGTGGGAAGCCAGCGACTAACCNTTCTCACTCGCGATGTTGTAGAAGTCTTCTCCTTCAACGGTTAACTGCCCTTCCAGTAGCCTAGCGTCGTCATTTTCCTCTTCTGTGGCCTCGCTACTGGTTTCCATTGAATCAGATTCGAGCATTAGGGACTCGAGCTCTTTTACGATGTTGTAGCAGTCTTCTCTTATAATGTCGAACTGCTCTTCCTGTAGCTCATCGTCGTCGACTTCCTCTTCTGTGGCCTGTCTATCCGTTCCCATGTTTTGAGTTTCGACTATTAAAAAGTCCTTCTCACTCGCGATGTTGTAGAAGTCTTCTCCTTCAACGGTTAACTGCCCTTCCAGTAGCCTAGCGTCGTCATTTTCCTCTTCTGTGGCCTCGCTACTGGTTTCCATTGAATCAGATTCGAGCATTAGGGACTCGAGCTCTTTTACGATGTTGTAGCAGTCTTCTCTTATAATGTCGAACTGCTCTTCCTGTAGCTCATCGTCGTCGACTTCCTCTTCTGTGGCCTGTCTATCCGTTCCCATGTTTTGAGTTTCGACTATTAAAAAGTCCTTCTCACTCGCGATGTTGTAGAAGTCTTCTCCTTCAACGGTTAACTGCCCTTCCAGTAGCCTAGCGTCGTCATTTTCCTCTTCTGTGGCCTCGCTACTGGTTTCCATTGAATCAGATTCGAGCATTAGGGACTCGAGCTCTTTTACGATGTTGTAGCAGTCTTCTCTTATAATGTCGAACTGCTCTTCCTGTAGCTCATCGTCGTCGACTTCCTCTTCTGTGGCCTGTCTATCCGTTCCCATGTTTTGAGTTTCGACTATTAAAAAGTCCTTCTCACTCGCGATGTTGTAGAAGTCTTCTCCTTCAACGGTTAACTGCCCTTCCAGTAGCCTAGCGTCGTCATTTTCCTCTTCTGTGGCCTCGCTACTGGTTTCCATTGAATCAGATTCGAGCATTAGGGACTCGAGCTCTTTTACGATGTTGTAGCAGTCTTCTCTTATAATGTCGAACTGCTCTTCCTGTAGCTCATCGTCGTCGACTTCCTCTTCTGTGGCCTGTCTATCCGTTCCCATGTTTTGAGTTTCGACTATTAAAAAGTCCTTCTCACTCGCGATGTTGTAGAAGTCTTCTCCTTCAACGGTTAACTGCCCTTCCAGTAGCCTAGCGTCGTCATTTTCCTCTTCTGTGGCCTCGCTACTGGTTTCCATTGAATCAGATTCGAGCATTAGGGACTCGAGCTCTTTTACGATGTTGTAGCAGTCTTCTCTTATAATGTCGAACTGCTCTTCCTGTAGCTCATCGTCGTCGACTTCCTCTTCTGTGGCCTGTCTATCCGTTCCCATGTTTTGAGTTTCGACTATTAAAAAGTCCTTCTCACTCGCGATGTTGTAGAAGTCTTCTCCTTCAACGGTTAACTGCCCTTCCAGTAGCCTAGCGTCGTCATTTTCCTCTTCTGTGGCCTCGCTACTGGTTTCCATTGAATCAGATTCGAGCATTAGGGACTCGAGCTCTTTTACGATGTTGTAGCAGTCTTCTCTTATAATGTCGAACTGCTCTTCCTGTAGCTCATCGTCGTCGACTTCCTCTTCTGTGGCCTGTCTATCCGTTCCCATGTTTTGAGTTTCGACTATTAAAAAGTCCTTCTCACTCGCGATGTTGTAGAAGTCTTCTCCTTCAACGGTTAACTGCCCTTCCAGTAGCCTAGCGTCGTCATTTTCCTCTTCTGTGGCCTCGCTACTGGTTTCCATTGAATCAGATTCGAGCATTAGGGACTCGAGCTCTTTTACGATGTTGTAGCAGTCTTCTCTTATAATGTCGAACTGCTCTTCCTGTAGCTCATCGTCGTCGACTTCCTCTTCTGTGGCCTGTCTATCCGTTCCCATGTTTTGAGTTTCGACTATTAAAAAGTCCTTCTCACTCGCGATGTTGTAGAAGTCTTCTCCTTCAACGGTTAACTGCCCTTCCAGTAGCCTAGCGTCGTCATTTTCCTCTTCTGTGGTCTCGCTACTGGTTTCCATTGAATCAGATTCGAGCATTAGGGACTCGAGCTCTTTTACGATGTTGTAGCAGTCTTCTGTTATAATGTCGAACTGCTCTTCCTGTAGCTCATCGTCGTCTACTTCCTCTTCTGTGGCCTGTCTATCCGTTCCCATGTTTTGAGATTCGGGTATTAAAAAGTCCTTTTCATTCGCGACGTTGTATAAGTCTTCTCCTTCAACGTTTAGCTGCTCTTCTTGTAGCTGGGTGCTATTGAGTTCCTCTTCTGTGGCCTTTATATCTGTTCCCATAAGTTGAACTTCGATTACAGAAGAGTCTTTATCTTTTGCAAGGTTGTAGCAAGTTTTGCCATGTTGGTCCAACTGCGAGATCACGTAGCAGAACTTGGTCTGCTCGCTACTGATACCGGCCAAAGTGAACTGTGCTTCGGCTTGAGCGAACCAACCTGCTGGTCTGTCGGCCCACAACGGCGGAAGCCGCACGGCAATTGTTGGTGTCTCTGTTGGTACTGGTCTGCTAGTGATATCAGCATCATGCTGTTTTTCTTCCATTTTGTCTTCCTGTTCTCGTTTGATACGTAGTTCGCCTTGTAAATTCTCCATGTGTGTTACGTACTGTTGCAGGAGGTCTTCTATTCGACCCCTGTCCATTATTTGTGTTGTATTGTCGGGGTCACCAATGTGGGATGTCATTATATGAAGAGACAACCACTAGTTGAAGTGTCCTATAGGATTTATTGCAGCTGCACGGTATACACAGACGGATAACAACAACAGTGAACTGCTTGAACACTGAACTAGAATCGTAGAACGGTAGAACTGTAACTGTAACTCAGTGTATCTGCTTATGTAGCCTAGAGTCGGACATATAGAAAACGGTTACGTAATAGGTACTGCTGTTGCCAGACACCGTGTTTACAAGTTCCCTAGCAACCGTTGTTTACTCGTTGTTGCTAAGCAATGAAGCTTGCGTTGTCACACTTGCTTAAATGTGGGCAGTTCCCACACAACGTTTAATTGCTCATCCTGTAAAGCAGTATCGTCAAGGTCCTCCTCTGTGTCCTCTCTGTCCGTTTCCATGTGTTGGACTCTATGTTTCTATGCTGGCGCATCCTTCTCTTACACAGTGTAATTGCTCTTCGTATAGGGCAGTGTCATAAGTTTGAATTCCGAGACTTTTTGCTGCAACTTTGAGGAAATTTTTATCCTCGCTCGTGGCCACTCTATTCCCTGCTGTCCCTCGTACTTTTAATTTGTAAATGTCTCTCTCTTTTTTTTCAAGTTTTCGCAAAGCAGTCTCCCTGCTTTTAATTGGTTTTCCAGAAGATCTTCATCCTTAATCTTGACTCTGAGGTTTTCTGTTTCATATTTTAAATTGTCCCACTCAATCATTATTGACTCTCTTCTCTGTTTTAGTTTTTGTGCCTTTAGTATATAAACGTTTCTCTGTTTTTTTAATATTTTCGCATTGCTCTCTTACAGTGTTAAGTTGTTTTTGCATTAGATCATAGTCCTTAAACTGGTCTCGGAATTCCCTTCCTTCAACTTTTAGCGCCTCTATAATCTTCTTGCAGGAATTACTATTCGCTTGTGAGCGTATGGACCTTTCTGCGATAGAGTCTCTCTCTTTTGTGACGTTGGCACATTGCACTTTTGCCGCTATAAATTGTTCTTTCGGTAGACCGTAGTTCTTAATATGAGCTAAGAGTTTTCCTCTTTCAGCTCTGAGGGCCTCCAAATTCTTCCTCATGTCCTTACAATCCGCTTCTGACTTTTGGCATTTTAATTTTGCTGATTCTCTCTCTGTTGTGATGCCTTCATATCGCTTTCTTGCACGGTTCAATTGCTCTTCCAGTCTTGCAGCGGCCTTACGCTGGTCAAGGAGATTTTCTGTTGCAAGTTTTAAGGCGCCTCTAGCGTTGTTTAAGGCGCGTTTATCAGATGATTTAATTTGGTCTCTGACCTCTTCTGTTTCCAGCCTCAGCCTCAGAACTTGTCTCTCCTCCATTATGTTTTCTGTTATCTCTGCTTTGAGTTCTTCTTCTAATGTAAATAATTTTCTCTCTCCTGCGACTTCGTAGGCAAGACCTTTCAGTGGCCAAATGCCCCTACATTGGTTTTGAAGTTCTTCTATTTCTCGTTTTAGGGCATCCCTCTCCCACTTTATGGCCTCTATTTCTTGAGCCATTCCAGTTGCTATGATATCGTCCTGGTCAGTTTGACCTTCATCTACCTCGTCCTCTTCGCGTGAAGAGGAAGCGTCTGAGTACGATGAACCCAATTCCATACTTCGAAGCATAGCTTCTTTTATGCGCTGTAAATCTTCACTCTGTAAATAATTTCACAACATAAGTGAGCGGCCTATGAAATCTGGCATTGTCACATGTTTAGAAGCTGTGAATTAACCCAGTACCATACGGCGGACACCTTTTCATATGGTTATATAAAATCAATAAAATAACATTCAACCCTGGTGAATATCTAACGAGGCAAAAGCCCTCCTTGTGAGTGCCCAGCCTGTGGCCTATTAGGAAAGTGTCCCGAAAAGTTACTTAACTTACTCTCAGTAATGTGCAAAATACATGAAAACATAACATGAACACACATGTACATTTATCTCACTTTTGCATTACGTTGTTCAAAGCAGATTTAAATATTGTTAAAACATTCTGTACAGCAATTTCTATTTGAAATCTGACCAATAAAGTTCGAATTGGAAATTATTTGGAAGGAAGCGGTCGTGGTTTTGTGCCGGTGAGAATCTTAGATTTATTTGTAGTTGCGGGTTATAAACGTTCGACAAATTCAGTTACCAGGGGCGTGAAGCTGCCTACTCACATACATGGTGTGTCGAGGTCAAAAATGATGGAGCTATACCTACACTCTTCCATGCTCCATGCCTTTAATGCATAAAGCACGGGGACAATTTAACTTTAAATGATTCATTAATTTGTTGTATTATATGACATTTTTATATTCAAAGTACGAAATGTGCAACCGTAATAATGATTATTAAAGTTTCGAGTCCCGATGAGGTGGATTATTTTCAACTGACCTAATCCTTCCAGCCGCACTACGGACCTGGGGTTGACTCAACCTCTAAAAGAAACGAGTACCAGGAATCTTCCTGGGGGTTAAAGGGCGGCCGGCGCGTGAGGCTGACAAACTTACTGCCATTTGTGAGCCGATTGTCTAGAGAAAATGTGGGACCCTCATTGTCTCACAACACTACGGGCCTTCACGGCCTGTTACAGGGATAGCTTTACTTTTTTTTTTTATACCGGGTCATCATCAGGCGTACAACGTTCCAGTATGTGCTGATGAATTGCAAGTAATTATCATCTAATTCTCCAAACAAGGATCCTTATTGTGTATTGAAATTATTGAAATGCATAAACACCTGTATTAATTTTTGGTAAAAATGGTAAAACTGCAAAATCCTTAGATAATAAAAATTTAAAATTAGAAATATAACGATTAAAATTAAAAGGAAAGATTAAGACATGAAAGTTAAAATTCTCTTTTTGTGGTAAGACTCAGTAACCGCTACGTGTTGGCCTAGATTTTATACCGGTAGAAGCGAT